TAGTCTGGGAGGCTTGTGGCAGAGTCAGGAAGCAGGGTTTCTGGAGGGATGCAAGAAGGGAGTTGGGATGGTGCCCATATTTCTGTTATAGGGGCTCCAGCGATTGATGGCATCATGGGGAGAGGTGGGCTGCAGGGAGGGGTGGGACCCATTTGGGTATGTGGATATGTTCTGAGGAGCCTGAGGCAGGGCTAGGAGGCAGTTGGGAGAGGGGCTTTGTGGAATAGACTGAGGAGCCTAGGGTTTGGGGTGAGTAGGAGGGAGGCGCTTGTCACTGAGTAGGAGCCAGCTGGTCATGCCTTGGCATTGAGTGAGGAGGCCTGAGACAGCGGAAGGACAAGTTGGTGAGGCAGGACAGGCTGACAGAGGAGAGCCTGGGACATGAGGGGCCGTCAGTGCTGCTTTTAGAGCCTACTTAGCCTGGTGGGTGGTGGTGGCACACACCTTGAATCCCAGCACTCAGGAGGCAGAGGCAGGCAAATCTCTGAGTTCAAGGCCAGCTTGGTCTACAGAGTAAGTTCCAGGACATCTAAAGACACCTGCCTGGAAAAACCAAAACAAACAGACACTTTCCCATTTCAGTTTATTGAGCTAAAATTGCCTATTTAAGTCTGATTTGCAAGTTGAAGTTTTGGACAACAAACACTACTGAAGCTGCATGAGGAGGCAAGGCCGACAGCTTTGGAGGTGGTCTGGCCGAGTCCTGTTGGAAGGCCCTACTCCCTGTGCCCTGGAGCTACCAAGGACTCCACCTATCAGCTGTGGCCTGAGCCCCCTCCACTCATGTCTTGAAAGGATCCTTCCACAGCAGTGGATGTGGGGGGCAGTTGGGCCATGGGAGGCCGCAGTATTTGGAGCAGAGATGGTGGTTCTGTAAGAAAGATGGTTCTAGGTGCCGGGATCATTTGAAAGATGTGCAGCAGTCTTCAAGACAGGAACGGGCTGTTTTGTTTTGTTTTGATTTGTTTTACGTAGAAGATAAGAGGCAACGGACAAGAGAGAACAAGAGCTCCTGGTCACCTGGTGGTAACCCAGGAAGGTGACCAGGTTAAGGATGGCAGAGGAGGTTAGAGTCTGGGGAAGTTCACCCCAGGGTTTTACTCACATAGGGTGTGAGATGGGCACAGGGCAGCCCATGGCTGTCATAGGACGTCTGAGGGGTGAGGTGGGCTGGAGAGAAATGTCAGGGCTGCGAGAGAAGCAGGGGAAACCCGGAGCTCATCAGTGGGTCGGTAAATATCCACTTACCATCGTAAATATTCACTAAATGTTACCTTTGTTGATCAGCTCCAAATGCTAGCTGCTCTGTCTGTGACTCAGGGAATGGACAGAACTCTGACTTGGGTTGGGGGTGGAGCAATTTGTGGGAGGGGCCAACAAGCTATGTGTCCTGTTCCATAATGATACTGAGAGAATGGCAGGCCACACTCTTGGGCACTAGGGATGTTCAATGGAATGGTTGGGGAGTAACAGCGTCTTGTGTTCCTCTGAGCCCCACAGGGCTGCCTGAGGGAGGATTTCAAATCACCCCACCTCAGGTATCAGCAACTAGGCAAAGAGAAGTTAAGAAATTTGCCCAGAAGACTGGGCCAACCACACCTTTAAACCCAACACTAAGGAGGCAGAGGCAAGCAGATCTTTTTGAGTTGAAGGCCAACCTGGCCTACATGGTAAGTTCCCGGTGGGTCAGAGTTCCACAGTGAGACAGTGTGTCAGAACAAAACAAAAATATGAAGAAGCTTGCCTGGGGGCACTCATCTTCATAACTGAGAGTCTGAAGTTTGTTTGTTTGTTTTTGTTTTTCAAGATAGGCTTTCGCTGTAGCTTTGGAGCCTGTCCTGGAACTTGCTCTGTAGACCAGGCTGGCCTCGAACTCACAGAAATCCACCTGCCTCTGCCTCCCGAGTGCTGGGATTAAAGGCATGTGCTGCCACTTCCTGGCCTGAGCCTGAAGTTTTCCATTGAGTCTCTGGTCTTTAGTTAGAAATTATTGCTGTCAGGTTATACTGCCGTCATTGACTGGTGTACTCGGAGGCCTGGCCCACTCCTTTAGTCAAGCAGTCAGTGCCAGAAAGGTTGTGAAGGAAGTGAGAATAAGGCTTGAGGACATCTGGGCCACCGATGTGCTGGGCAAGGAAGAGCACAGGCAAAGGACCCGAGGCAAGCTCGTGCCTGGGGTGTCTAATGAAGAGCATGAAGGCCAGAGGACCTGGAGCAAAGGAAGCAAGCGGGAGTGAAGGCTCCAACTCGGCTGATCTAAGGCTGTCTGTGGTGGTTGAAAGGTTGTTGGCTTATACATGAGGTGAAGTGAAGCCCCGGAGATTTTAGAGCTGAGGAGGGGTAAGATCTGACTTGAATTCTAACCTGACAGCTCTGGCTTCTGTGCTTGGAGCAAGAGTAAAAAAAAAAAAAAAAAAAAAAAAAAAAAAAAAAACCCCACACCACACACTGAGAAGCCCAGAGCCAACATGGATAATCCACTCAGTGCGTGGCAGTGGCTGAAGGGCAGGTGGGTCCCTTGCAGCGTCTCAGCCTGGATGTTGGAAGGGAGAGATGTCGAGAATGACACCAGAGCTTGCGCATCGGTGACTGGAAAGATGGGGTTCTGGGGAGACAGGTAGCCGTGGGAGGAATGCTTCGTGAAGGACTTCTCACCTCCATTATCCCTGCTATTCCCTGGGTTCCTACAGGGGTGGGAATTGGGACTCACTTACACAGCCATCTCAGGATTGCATGGCTAGAAGGGAATGGAGCCACAACCTAGGACCAAGTGTGTACACTGGGGTTTGTGATTCTGGCTCAACATTTCAATTAGCAAGGGCCTCCTAGGTGCCAAGTGTCATGCTGTGTGCTGGCACCAATGGGTGAAGGGAGCATGCTTCACTCTGGTGGCATCTCAGTCTGAAGGAGCAGCAGTATCCATGATGCTGGAATGGAACCTAGGGACAGTGTGTTCAGCAATAGGAAAGGATGCCCCAAAAGGTCCTGGGGCGAGTGGGAGCCTAACCAGTCAGGCATCTGGTGGCTTCCTGGAAGCACACAGACTTCTGGGAATGAGGACTTCTTGGAAGCACATTTGTGGGTTTTCCCTATGGAACTCCAAGGAGGCCACAGGCTCTCGGATTATGGGTGGCTACCAAGTTTTGTTTTTTTTTTTTTCCCCCCAAAGGATTTAACAGTAACTCACATGCCATGTTTTGCTAATTGAAAGTGTTCTGTTAAATGGCTTTTAGCTCATACACAAAGCTGTGAGTCCATCACCACAGTCCATTTCAGAACCTCTCCTTTGCCCCAGAAAGTGCTCCCGCTGCTCAGCTCTCATCCTCGCCATAGCTCTTAGCAGCCAAGACCAGACTTGATTCTACTTTCCATTTCTACAAAGCCAAAGCCACCTGTGATATCTGTGTCGGTGGCATTGGGCAAGGTGAGGCCTTTTTTTGCATGGAACCTTTTTTATCTTTGCCTTGTATGCAGACTTCTGTGTTAGAAGTCTAAGACTTAATGGTGTCACAGACATCAGGGGCCTAGGGCCTGTTACCCTTCATATAGAAGGGGAAATGGGGAGACTTTCAGCCTTCCCTCAGCAAGCAAACTTGGGGGCTCCAAAGGGGCTTAGAGACCTCCAGGTCAGGATGCTTCCCTCTGTTGCTAACTCTCCCTTCAGCTGCAATGCTGGGTGAATTGGGCTCCCAGTGGTAACCGGTGGGAATGGCATCTCCCCCAGCCGTGGCATTGAATGTGCTGTGGATTTTCACACCCCGAGATGCACTTGGAGATCTTGCATGCATACTTCTGAGCCTATGTCCTCTCATTGAGAATGTTGAGTCCCCACCCATGTCTTCTTTCCTGCTACCCAAACCCTTGCTGGTCCTACCTGTTTTTCTTGGCTGGGAACATTCTTCCTCAGGGAGATGGGCTTCATTGTCCCAGAACCAGAGGTCTGGGTTAGAGAATGCAGCCCTGGCCTCATTGGTGATCAGTGTACATTTCTCATCAAAGGCAGGTCAGGGTTCTGAGGAGGTTTGGAGACACCCATCAAGACTCTTCTTCCTGCCCTGCCAGGCGGTGTGCCTCAGTTTCTCTCTTTGAAAAGGAGGAAATGAAGTGTGTTGTACATGTGGCATCGTGGGAACTGATGCTTGGGAGGTGCCGTTTCTGGGCCGACCCTGGGGAGAGTTTGGGAGGGCATCCTCAGGCTTGGGGACAAGCAGGTGAAGATGAGTATCCCAGTTTCAGCTGCCCTTCCTATTTCTTCCTGTGGTGAACTGGTCCCTGTGTCTCCTCCCAGCACTTGGTAGAGGGACCAAGTCCAAACCCTAGTCTAGCTTCTCAGATTCTGGTCCTCACGCCAAAGCTGCCTTGGTCTCTCAGTCTCAGTTTTGTGACCTGTATAATGGGAGCGCAGAGGGACATCTTCTGAGGCCTCCAGGGCTGCTAGCTGCCTCCTAGGTAGGTGTGCAGTGGAGGGCACAGGAGAATGGCACCTCCCAGGGTTTTCCCAAGGATTTACCTTGTGCCAGCATCCTGCCTGCGTTACCTTCTGAGACCTCCTAGCAGCTCTCAGAATACTGTTAACAAGAAGAGAAACCTCTCCATTATCCCCTCATTGAGAGAATGGCCAGGCTGAGATTTGAACTCACGGTGGTGTGACTTTGGCCCCTCTCCTATCTTCTCTCATGTGGTGGAAAGAGGGGAGGGGCAAAAGGAGCAAACTGAGGAAGGACTTGGGAACCTAGCTTCCCCACTGCTGGCTGCTGCAGGGATTCTGTGGGTGGTGGGAAAGGCATTGTAAATATGCATGACATGCAAATCTACCTCTAAAAACAACGTGGGCCTCCCATGAGCTGGGGTGCCAGGGTTCTCTGGAAAATACAGTCTTACACAAACACTTGGGTTTCTATGACAACTGTGCCGACTTGCCCCTTCCCTAGGGCTAGTCTGAAGGTGTCAAGGTACGGTGCTCATTTCTGGCTAATCAGTGTTCCTCCTGTGTCCTGCAGGCGCTGGTGCTGCCCTCTGCCTGGAGCCTGGTGCCCCCCCTGTTGTGATGCCTCTGATGGAGTGCTGGAGGGATGTGTGTGGCAGTCCTTGGTCCCACACCCACTTCTGAGGTGTCATCTGCAGCACACTTGCCCGCTACCATTTTTCCTGTGCACGTAGCTCCCTGGCCGGTAAGTACAGCCACAGCCCCGAGCACCTCACCCACTATGGTGCTTGCCACCACGGGGGAATGCCCAGCCTTCCCACTCGAAGCACCCACGAGCTGGCAGAGGGGCCTCGACAAGTGTGTTCCTGTCTGGGCACAACTTATAGCTTAACCAGCTGGGTGTATTCATCCTCCTGACAACTCTGGAGGTGGACATGGTGAGGATACCCTTTCCCAGTGAGGGAAAGCCTGCCTGAGGATGGACAGTGAGCTCTACACATTTCAAATGCCATACCCAGGCCTGGGGCAGGTGATGGGCACAGGCTCGGGAGGGGGAGGGGAGTACAGAGCCTTGCTGCAGACTGTGGCACGACAGTGCTCCTCCTCCAGCTCCACCTGCCTAAACTCACGGTGAGGTGCTGGGCCCAACCCCGTCTCTGACTGTCCCTCCCACCCACAGTCCTCACGAAGCCTAGTTCCTCCGTCATCCTTCCCACAGAGCAGGGACAGCCACCTCAGGCCCACGTGATGCCAACCACAGTACCTGTTCTCTAACACACACACACCCCTCGGCCCCACCAGAGTCCTCCTGGCACAATAAGTCCAGTTCACAAGTGAGGAAACCCGATGGCTCCCTGTCACCATCCTGCCTACATTATGGGACCCTGGATTGAAGATCTGCCTTCTTCAGTGGCCTCAGCTTCTCAGGGGCCAGCATCAAGAGAGGGAGTTGGGCAAGTGGGCCTCCTTCATGGTCTTTCACCAGATTCCACCAGGACCCAGGAACCCATCAGCCTTCTGGGGTCCCAGAGAGCTGCTCCAGTGGCCCTCCTCACAGTGCCAGCCCCTTTGCTTCCAACTCTCCCATCTGCCAACAGCTGCCAGCTTCCTTGATGAGATGGTTATGAGAAGGGAAAAGTCTGGTAAATATGCATAATATGCAAATATCTAGGATAACATAAAAAAAAAAACCCTTGAAGTTCACTGTCAGTAATGGGTGTGGAAGTCTGTCGTTGAGAGCCAGACGTTGCACATTTGTGTGGTGCCAGCCTTATTGTTAATAACTTTGAGGGGGCCTCATTAATTAGTGCCCCCACACCAGCTCAGTCGTCGTCCCCCCTCCCCCCTGGGTTGGCCTGGGTCTGTTGTAGCAACCAGAGATAGCTGTTGTATTTGGCTGAGAAGCTGTCACCACAGAAGTGTTGAGGACATGGTGGTCTGAGAGCAGAGAGTGCCTGAGGCAAAACATGCTGGGTTTGCTCAAGGCAGGCCCGGGTCTCCCTGAGGACAATGTCTATTGCGGGGCCAGCCTGTGAGGTAGTGGGTATTTCTTGAGCAGTTACTGGGTGCCTGGCATGTGGTGAATGCCTGATACTCTGCGGTATTTCTGCTCAATTCCCCATCAGCTCACAGAGGCCTTGGCCTCTGATGAGCACTGCTCCAGGGCCTCCTCTGCCCTAGGGCAGATTCTGGAGGCACAGCTGTTGTTGCTTACAGCCCCCTTGTGTGTGGACCAGTGACGGAGATGGGATTCCTTGGCACTCAGAGGGAGCAGCCGTCAGGATCACGTGGAAAGATGGAGGCCGGGGTGGCGCGAGGGAGGTGTTACTGCTGCGATTTTGCTAACAAGCTGGTTATTTAAGGATCTGGGAAGCCATCAGGGAGCCACTGTGCCTGGGCAGAGGCGGCTGGGAGGACAAGGTCCCCAGGGAATCGAGGTCAGGAAACCAGCCACACACTGATCAATGGATTGATTGAGTCTTGTCCACTTACAGACAGTAGTAACAGTACCATGAAAGTCTGGGAAAAGATCCACTGTCTGTGTCAAAGAGGACCTGTGAGCTGGAAAACACAAGGGACTTGTAGGGCAGCAGAACTCTGACTATGGGCCTGGGGGTGGGCGCAGCCTTGGCCTGTGGTCACTTACCACAGTCAACCTTTTGTCTTGCACGAGTTCCTTGTGGTAGTGTATGTCACAGTAAAGTGACAAAAACACCTGCAGCTCTAACAATAACAGCTACCATTTAGTGACAATTAAGTACCAGGATTTTCCTGTTTTCTAAAAAAGAAATATTATTTATACATGTATGTATTATTTTAATTATTTATTTTGGGACAGGGTCTTTCTATGTAGCCCTAGCTGACCCGGAACTCACTGTGTAGACCGGGCTGGTCTCAAACTCATTGAGATTCCCCTGCCTCTACCTCCCACGTATTGAGATTACAGACATGTACCATCACACCTGGCTTATTGACTTAATTTTGCTGTGATGGAGCCCAGGAGCTTGGAACTGCTAGGCAGGTGCTCCGCCAGCAAGCTACATCCCAGCCTAGCATCATGTCAAATCTTCCACAGATTTTCTCATTGTACCCATTGTACAGAAGGGGCCAGTAAGGCTTCCAGGGTAAAGCTACTTGACATATGTCTAGAACTAGACAGGTAGGTGACTCAGGCCTCAAGAGCAAGGACGAGGAGTGAGAAGCTACCCCAGGGGGTCAGGCTGGGCCCTTTGTTGCTCTCTGCTGTTCCTGTGCCTCTTGCATATTTGAGGTGTGGGAAGCTAGGCAGGTATCTGTGGTCATGGGCAGCTAGAGGACTAGGCCCCTGACAAGGGCCAGTGTAGGACGTTTGGTCATTAACAAATGGTCCAGATAGGAGCAAGACATCCTAAGGGACAGCTGGAGAGGGGATGAGGAAGACTGAAGTTCATTCTAGGTAAAAAGAGGTCATCCAGAGGAGGCAGGCTCAGACCCATCCTCTAAAATCACTGCCTGCAGGCCTACTATGTACTGAATGTATCACTTTGTCAATCTCAGAACAACCCTATAGAAATAGCACTGTCGCCCTGCTGGGCAGATAGAGGGGCTGAGTCTGGAGAGAAGTGACTAGCTTGAGGCTTGGAGGGCTGTGATGGTGAGTGATGGTGCCACCTCACTCCTGGAAATTCTGTATGGTAAGCAAGCTGGACCCAGTGCCAAGGAGCCCTGCAGAGCTTGAACTGCATGTAGCTGGAATCACACTCAAACCATACTGCAGAGCAATAGGTCCAGCTGGTGCTGGGGACAGCCCTAAAGCATGGCATGCGGTGGGTTCTCCAAGGCCTGAAGCTGGCAGCCCGTTCTGCTCTTCGGGCGCCAGCCCCAGAGGCACCCCTACATTCCGAGCAGGTTTATTGAGAACAGTTGCACTTGTCAGTGCCCCTCCTAGAGCACTCAGGCTTGGGGAAGGACTGGCGTTACACAACCACCCACGTAAGTAGAGAGTGAGAGGGGACAGGACCAGCGCAGTGGAGCAGATTAACAGCTCAGGGCCACACTGTGCCATGGGACTGCCTTACAGGACTCAGATCAGCCTTGCTAGGGCGCCCTGGGTAGTGTTGGTAGTAGCAGGGCAATTGGGAACAGGCCACTTGTCCATCACCAGGGGACTAGTTAAATCTGCTTGCTGCAGCTGTACAGTGGTGCCTGCTGTGGCTGTTAGAAACGGGGCCGATCTAAATTTACTGTTGGAGAAAGAACTTCATAGTGTGTGATGGATAAAGAGGTTATAAGCCAGCATGGGTAACACGAGGCCATTTTCATCAGGTTTGTAAGTTTCTAGAAGCTGTTCCCAGTGCTTCCCCTGGTGCAGTCGGACCTGAGGGATTGGAAAATCAGATCGGGCTGTGCCTCATTTCTGTTCCTTCTTGGCTGTATGACCTTGGGCAAGTCACTTGCTTTCTGTGGGGCTGTTTTCTGAAAAACAAAGAGATGGATAGCATCAGTGTGTGTGGAGATCTAGACAGGACTAGAACAGTACCAGGATGGCATCGCAGGTGTTCACTGCCATGGCCACTGTGTACTCATGACATCCTGCCAGCCTCTCCTGGGTTGCCTCTTTCCTGGGTCACAGCCATGAGGCCCAGGAGTACAGCATAGCTCTGTGCACAGGGCCAGCAAAAGCCCAGATCAGCAATGCCCCTGCCCCAAGCCTTATCCACTCTCCTTGACCTACTAACGTGCCTCACCAGAGAATACTGTCCCCAAAGACATTGCTGCTGGAGACATGTTGGCCCTGGAGCTGCCACTAAATCTGTCTGGAAAGATAGGCAATGCCTTCTAGATGCCCGGAACCTTAAATCTTAAGCAGAGAAACTCCAGCTCAGGAAGCTGAACTTTCAGAGTCACGGGCTCTCCATCATGAGAAATCCAACACATGTGAGCATGGGCATTTATTTCACAAACACCCTCACCACACCTCCCTTGATGATGGTGATAAATTAGAAACTACCCAATTATCTGTCTGGGAGAGATGGCTAAATAAATTCTGTCCAGCAGCTGACAGCATTCTCTGTACCGTGGAGACAGCACTGTAGCTCTGTCCTTGTTGACATGGAAACATGTCGGTGGCACATTGTTGAGGGAAAAATAGAAGATTAAAAAAAAAAAAAAAAAAAAAAAAAAAAAAAAAAAAAGGGGGAAGGGGCTGTCAAGATGGCTGAGTGAGTGAAGGCACTTTCCAGCAAGCCTGAGCACCTGAGTTCAATCCTTAGGACCCACATGGTAGACAGAGACAGACGACTCACACACACACACACACACGCACGCACGCACGCACGCACATGCGCGTGCACACACAACTCAACACAAGTAAATGAATGTAGTTTTAAAAAATGATGCATTGATCTCAAAGTTTGAGGCCAGCCTGGTCTACATAGTGAGTTCCAGGACAGCCAGAGCTACATAGTGAGACCCTGTCCAGAAGAAAAAATAAAAATGATAACATTGTTGCAGGATCCCTGGATTTGCAGTCTTTTGTGAATGCTAGGACCAAGGTGGGTGGAACAGGGTACTTATTTAGATATCCACTGATTCTTTTTCATTTTTATAGAAAAATGTGTATATTCTTTTTCCTAGTCAGAGACATGTCTGGATCTGGAAGGGCAGTCATTAAACCATTCGTAGTGATGTCCTCTGATGTGGAGGGAGGGTGGGCGCTAATTTAATTTTTACTCATTTCCTCCAGGATCTTTTTAGTACAAGTGA